TCATCATCATCATCATCATCATCATCATCATCATCATCATCATCATCCGTAGCAGTAGTTTTCACGCACCAATGGCCGGTCTCAGTCAGGAGGAGCGCGATTGCGATCTGGTGCAGTAGCTTATAAAGCTGCCTACGGGTATGACACGGCTCAAGTGGTGTAAGAAAGGCTGCTAGTGATTTTGGTAAGTAAAAGGAATATGCACGGGTCCTTAACCGCATGAAATAACAAGACTCGAGGTTATGGACGAACGTCTGCGCAAATTTGGTGCAGATTAAATTGCGTAATTTAAGGAAGCCACTAATCGGCCATCGGAAAGCGCAGTTCTCGCTGGTTCAATAACCATACCAATTACTAACAAAGTAGAACGGTTAGATGACAGAAAGTTAACGTCCGCATCGCCATTGATCCTACGCCCTCCATCACCTCCAATCATCCAATAAACCTGCTTGAATGGCGAGTTGAGGGATAGTTTCATGAGGCCCTGCATCATAAACTGGATAAAGGTAGCCAACGAAGGCTGCAACGAGTTATGGCTGCAGGCTCAGCGATCGTCTGATTGCCTACCTTCGCTGAAGGCGACACAACTATGCGGCACTGGACAACTAAGCTGACTTAAAGCCCTCCTTTCGTTCCGAAACAAACAATGGAAAAAGACAGTTCATTTCGTAAGCGCTAGGCCCTTTTAGGAAACAAACATAAAAGAAGCGAACACAAGTGCACGCGATAGCATAATGAACACGCGAAGCTCGCCTACCCTCTGCGGTTGGAGCGATTCGTAAGTAGGAATGAAGCTTTTGTTAGGGCAGCTGCAAACAAAGTGTGGTGGATAGGCAAACATTTTTGACCGGTTTACTTGTTAACACTCACTGCCTCAAGGTCACGAAACTTCCCCGCGAGTACCTTCCGACGCGTTGGCCTGAAGACTTTTGACCAGTTTCCCCGCGCGCACACGCGCGTCCAAATAGTCGTGGTGGTCAAAGGGTCACTTGAACACCCCACCGCTCGGCCGATGCTGCAGGGGCCATTATACACGATAACCCGTCGGACAGTGCAACAAATGAAAGCAGCGAACAGCCCTGTCTCTATCTCTCATACTCTCCCGGACACGACTGGAGGCAGTCAACACTAGCCCTAGCTTCACCAAGGGCTACTGCTGTTTGAGAAAACAACTCAGAGTTGTATGCACAATAAACCGCTGATTCTAGTTCCTCCGGCATTTAACATACAATATGGGATTTCGACTTGATGACTGTAGTGTTCTTAGTAAAACCCACGGCTTAGACGCTACAAACGGATTATGCATGCTTCTCCTAACTACGAAATTCACCGTATCTACGCCCAATCTACGTCCACTCGCAGCAGATATGTAGAGCTAATAAACACGCCGCATTGGTCTTACAACGATCAACAAGGACCCTTGACTCATCACTCAACTTATGAGTTAGATCTAGAGAAGAAAGCCATTGTTGAATATAACTGGCAAATTAGCGCTAGTTACGACTAGTTGCCAGGCTGTTTCATCACAAACACCGACGTATCGCTACAGAATTCCAAGTATAATTCAGGCACGGTAAATGATATTTAATGAGATATCTTTTGAGAGGAAATCGTTGGGGGTTTCACTGAATCCACTAGAATGAATAATGACGGTTGTTCACGGTCACACTGACCACAAAAGATGGGTGGTTTACATACGATCAAAGGATTCGAATTTTCTACAAGCTTTCGAATTCAAAAGTGCTTTTAAAAGTTGGATCTCTACTCTGCGAAATGTGTGGTTTAAAGAAGTAATGGTTTGTGAACTACGCATTAGTCGGTGGAACATGATTCTTCAATGACTGAAGCTTCAGAGTTTTCGGTCGTATGTCAAGAAATTAATGCGCTTAGCCAACACTTCGGAGAAGGTCAGTGCAGTTTCTGCGATAGTGTTCCACACTTATGAATCATTTGCTGGCCCATCGAATGAGTTCTTTGTTGGTCGGTCTCTGATAGAGCTTATACATTTTTGTAGCTTTTCCATCAATGTATGTTTTAATAACTTTGAGAGCCCCATTTGTAGTCGAAATAGCGCTTCTTTGAGAGTGAAAGCGATGACTAATTTCTCAAATGCGCGTTGCCAGTTGGGACCCTGTGACAGTCTGCCAAACACGTGACAGGGTGTAGAGTTTTTGGCTAGGTTTATCGACGTAGATGCAGGCCCCGTCAGAGGAAATGGCTTTGTAAATAAATAACGAGTACTTAGTGGTTGAAAATTTGTCGCTAGGAAGCATAAAATGGCAATGAATCCTGATCTTGCTTCTATAGCCCTTGCCTATGCCACGAGGTGCTAACACCCAAGAAGCCACGATCGGAGACCCCTTAAACGTAGAATATAACCGGCTCACCCGACGGGCAAACAGACCATCCGTTAGAAGCAGTACGTAGATGAAAATGATTCATTTAACCTGACTGTGAAGAAGTCAGCGTTTTGGTGGGATTCGTAACCACACCAGCAAGGGGAAGACCCCAGGCAGCTAACGTTCTGGCCAACTGGGTTACAAGGCTCCTACCAGGAGCCATGCGTTTAATTATACTTACGCCAATTTATCTGACCAACCTACTGCAATCTATGCAATCCACCAATTCTGCTACGGCATACTGGTTGCCATGGGAGAGGATATTTGCCTTATTTTCACCGGTGTCAAAGTAGCGGTGCGAGCGCCTATTGGCTAGTTTAAATAGGCTAAAATCCAATGTTACGTCGTGCCAGGGATAATGTAATTCTTCATTTGTTGCACTGGAAATGATTTTGCTTGCCATGTAAATTGTAGGGCATGTAAATTTGAGGTGTGCACGGTGCTTCGCGCCGCGAACTAATATAAACTAACTCCAGCACGGTAAATTGGACCTCAGGTAAGTTGAAGTAGACAACCTCCCAAACGCCATATTCTAACCGGATTTTTAAATTATATAATAAATAAATGACGGATAATCAAATTAAACACGAGGAATTACGTGGGCAAGTCGCTAGTCAAAGTTACCGTCATGCTGCACGCTCATTGGCTAGCCAAAATACCGGTGAAACCAGATACACAGTTCATTCCGGTTGCCATAGCAGGATGTCCTAACCAATTCAGCTAGAATCCACGCCGGCTTTGCACGGTCGATCGGATCCTTCAAAGTATGAGCCGTTCCATAATATTGTTTTAACAAATTATTGTCTGCCTTAAAATTATCCCCCCAGAAATATATGAACGAAGATTATTTCTCTACCATTTATCTCCAAGCAGTTATTTTTTGCCATCATGTAATAATAAAGTCTAGTGCATGCAGCCCAAATATTGCATGGGTATACTTACGCGAACATACACGGAAGCCTTCGTTGTGGGCTCGACGGCAGGGGGAGGGGTTGGGCTGTGGTGTCTGGCTGAAACACACCTGCGCCGGGGCAGAGGCCTGCCACTTATGTTTCTATGGGAACCCTCCTGGGAGGAAGAAAGGACCGCGCCGGCAATACGGTTAACGGTTTCAAGCGTCAGTACCGGCACACGTCTATCATGGCTGTTGATAGCATGGTAGCCGTTGGCATTTACCTTTAGGCGTTCAGCCCCTGAAAAGAAGGGAAAGGATTGCAAACTGAGCGGGTAGGAATAAATGCGCTTGTTGTTTGATTGTTGGGCATTTTTCGGACGCCTACAAAGGAGGTCCCAATAAAATGGGGGCGAGTTTGGGCATACAAAATTTGTATGATCAGTACTAACTGTTCAGGTGCCGTGTTATTCCGTGAATCCCACAGAGTCGCAAAGTCGGAGTCAGGGATTTCTGTTGAAGAAACCAAACCAAGTCTCTGAAGCATCTGTCTTTTACTGCTTGGAATGACCAGGTAACCCAGAGCAGCATCCGATTGCGTAATTGAATTAAAACTTAGCAGATCATAAAGGACAAACTAGGTTAAATAACTCACTTGAATTATGTTGTCAGACCATGACGATATTAAAATGGGGTTCGCAGTGCATGCATGAGTTAGAGTAATTTAAACAAATGGGGGGATAGAAGCATGAACCGAGCGCAGTAATCTTTGCTTTGATTAATATTTTGGGCGAACGGATGAGAAACGACGACTGTGATATCATCTCTTGGATGAATTTACAAAGGGCTTATTTTCCAGCCTCCCAAGAGAGGATGCGAGATGAGCGCATAGTTTGCTGACTGCCTAAACCTCACCCCTCATAACAAACATGTAAAGGCTGGTTTTCATAACGCCTACAGCGAACGGATGACCAACAAAGACTGTGGAATAATGTCTTAGCTTTTGGAATAGCTCCTGTCTCAGCGTCCTAGTTGATTTTAAGCAGAGCAGTGCTCTATCGGCATGAACACAAGCGGTAACTTGGAGGGGCAGCCCCTGTGTGAC